TTACTAAATTCAGACATTTCTAGTGAACTACAGTTGTTCTGAATTCTGCTGTGAGATACAGCCAACCAAATAATATCATTAGCAACTTCATGACATAGTTTAGGCATTCGTACTAGGGACAAGCATTATAGAAGGTGACTGAGTGTTTCGGTTCAGTAAAGTTAGTCAACAAGGAAATAAAAAAATTTAATAAATAGTTGTAACTGCCCGAAAACTTTCATTTCCCCCTCACACAATCTCATCTGTGTCACCCTCGGACACCAAACGTCTCACTTTCTATCCACCCCCCGCTCTACAACCTGGTGCGTGAGTCACTCAGTGGTTTCCTAAGCTTGTTGCTGATCTATCTTCACTCAAGTTTTCCATATTTCCAGATAATACATTCTTGGCTCCTTCGCTGTCCCAGTTTTTTGTTGTTAATCCTTACCGACCGTCTGATCTTCAGTATGGAGCTAACAAAGACAGGTATTGATAAGGGTCTACAACAGCCTGTTGAAAGTGATACACGCAACGCACGCGTCGAGTCTCTTAACCGAATGGAAGCAGTGACTTAACATATAAGTATTTATGACTGGACACTAGTCAGAAACTATTGTAATGTATTTAGTCCCTTGTTTACTGCAGACTAAATTCTATCAGTCAAGTTTGCAATGTGGTCACCATGCTACGTGGCTTACCATCATGGTGCACTATGAACTGTTGATATTAGATGGTTAGTAGCAATTGGCAGGAAGCCCTGCTTGGACCTAGGTTTCGTGCCAGTTGGCATTCACCAGTCAGCAACGCGTATCTGTAACCTCGGAGGAGCTGATGTCCATTCTGAGATTTGAACCCATGTCACCCAGTGCTCCAGTCTGAGATTTTAATGCTGAGCTATTTGAGCTCACCACTGACCTCCTGTGGGACTGCTTCTGACACTGACTGAATGCCAGTTAATAGCTAATATAATGTGTCTAGTCCTATCTTTGGCGCAAAATGAATTCTATCTGTCAAGTTTGTAATGTGGTCACCATACAAAGGTGTATATAAGGTTTACTGAAGATTGCAAACAATCACGAAACCTTGGTCCACGCAAGGCTTTCTGTCGATTGCATCCAACCATGTAATACCAACAGTTAAAATTAGTACATATATACAAGATCCTTTCTGTACTTATCATAAAAGTAACATCATCATAGCCAAGTCAAATTTAAAAAGGTTATTAAAACACATGCCGTTTAACTCTCTACATGTCTTGACTACTTAAGATAAAATACTGCGTTTGTATTCTAAATGATGAAAACAGTTTGGTTAACAAGCCAGAAGAAAAACTGCAACTTCATTGTTGATAGGTATTATTGTTATTGCTATTTGGATCAACTTCCCTTTTATGTCTTTTTATTTTAACCTTCAGTGTAAATCAGTTTATTCCCTTTTATATTGCCTTTTTTTAACGTTAATTTCTTCCTCATCTGTCATCATCACTTGTGATCGTTATATAAAATCAAAGTCATCATTTTATAAAGTAGATATTTAATGATTACTGTATTCATCAGTGCTCCATATTTTCAGTCTATGTGTAGCTGTGTGCATGTGCATGCATGTGTGTGTGTGTGTGGCTGCTTTCTTCCAATTCCCTTGAGAATTGTGTTGCTCGTTAATATTTTCTGTTTTCCCTCGTTTATTTGAGTTCAATTCTACTGGGGATTATCATATTTACTTTTTTCCATTTCATTATTTTGTTCAGATTAGTAGTCTTAGTATTCCCATGTCGGATTCTAAGATTTATGGCATAAACAGTGATAAAGATTTAGTAAGGTTTTGAAATTTCATCGTGAGCTGACATCGGTTAAAGAATCATTGGAAAACCTTAAATTACTGGTCAGCTGTTTCATCCTATCTTGAGACTCTCCAAAAGTAAGTACCCGCCGGTTTCGAACCCAGGATCTTTGGGCAGGTTATTAAGCTACTGGGACCCGATCCAGTGACCGCCCCGTGAATGCCAATTTCTGCTAATTCATAATGTAGTAGGACTGACACTAGCGAATTTCATCGATCGCGAGTGTTTAACCTGAACCTCGAGCTGCTATACCCCATTGGTCACGAATTCTTACTAGAACCCAGGTATCTACCTTGTAATCGGAAAGCCCTGGATTCAAACCCTGGTGAGCAAGTACTACAGAAGAGTCTAGAACTGGGGCGAAAAAGGCGTCTAGTATTCCCTGGCTTCCAAAGGTCCTGTAAGTGATATCAATACGTGGTCAGACATGTAACAAATCAAATCCCTACGAAATAAATCCTGAAAATAAATACGGAGAAGTCCACTGAAGTAGACATCACTGATAATAACGAAGAGATAATGATCTGACTCAGCTTTCTGAAGTGAACCAACCAGTTGTAGTGGAAATTATTTTGAATAAGAAGTTAAGAAAAGGCCATTTGGTGTCTACAGTACTTCAGTCTTGTTGCAAGTGTAATTTTTTAAGGTGTTTGGTTTTTGCCATTTTCTCTGTCATAAGGATAATATGTAAGGTTAAATATGTAATATTATCTGAATATAATGGATTTGTTAATACTCCAGAAATCAAATTACACCTAAAACTGCGAGTTTTGAATTGGCAACAGTTATTTTGATACATGAAGCCATGTGATATCTGATCAGCATTGATTAGACACCTCTTTGAACACACCAATTATAGATAGTTGACAGACTCATTCTTTCTTAACAATATTCCTAATTTAATTGAATTTGAGATTTTCCCGTCGATTGATTGCACCGAAGTGCTCGGTGTCAGGTTGACATATCTGTCGGCTTCTTTTACAGATGCTTCGACGATGTCTGGTCATTTGATTAGAATTTAATTGGTGGATGGTGACTAGCAGTGGAATCTAAGACAAGGCGCATTTCGTCCTATTCGGGACTCGTCATTTGGATGTACCTGCATTTCCCAGTGAGTTATTATGTTCCAACGATGCTCGAACCCAGTGCCGACATGTCAACGTGACACCGAGCACTTCGGTTCAATCAGTCGACGGGAAAATCTAAAATTCAATTAAATAATTAACATGACCTCTTGCACAAGAGGCAGTGGCTCTCGTCGCCGAAGTGGTCTAGTGGATAACGCACATCCAGCTGACGAGTCCCGAGTAGGACGAAATGCGCTTTATCCCGGATTCCACTGCTAGTCACCATCCACCAATTAAATATTCCCAATTCTTATTCAGATATATTTTAACAGATAAAATAAATATCATAGGGAAACTTAGATAGCAAGACTAATCACAAAAGTGGTTATGTGAGTGTTAAAAAGCACTATATTCTATCAATAATCCAAGCGAAAATTCTCGAGACATGACATGGATGACACATCATTATCAGAAAACAATGGATAGAGTGACATCAAATTTACCATTAGCAAATTCATCTATAATTGACCCACTTCCAGGTGAAATTTCACGACAGTTTCTCTCAGAAAATGAAATTTATGCGATCTGCTTGATACGATGAAGGCTAATCAAGAAAGCATAAAGCTATACCACCTACCACCACCACCACCTAGTCGACTGAGGTCACTTCGATCTGTTTAGCAAACACCACTAGTTTTTCATGATTGACATGAAACTACTCATCTCAGCCGATTAGTAGTATATAGTTTCAAGCATATAATGCAAAAAGTTTAGACTTTCAATCTTTTCATTTGCTTATTTTTTACTTGTCTTGTTTCATTGAACAAACGTTGTTCACGTAGACATGTATGATACGCATTGAATATCGTATACGATAATGTCTTATCGTGATGAAATCAGTCTTATTCGAATGTTAAATAACATTTTATGCATATATATATATATATATATATATATATATATATATAAAATAGGTATGTTTAATATAAGTAAAACTTAAATGATTTCGTTTAATTTTTCTATGTCAAAAACAACTGAGACATAATCACTCACTATCCACTACTGTTTTCTTCTTTACCATCCGCTTTTCTATTTCTAACATATGTATAAAATGTGACATTTTAGATTTCTAATAAAAAAAATACACAAACTCAATGGACCAATCGAATCACAACGAATAGAATAGTTCACGATAATCAGAAGACAATTGGTGTTTTCTTTCGATAATACATATATATATATATATATATATATATACGGAGTTTTCTTTTACGCTTTTGTTGCTGTTCCTCTAGTAGATATATCTTCTTTTATTTTGGAAGTTAAAGAAAGGGTGGATGCTTAAACAGTACGATGTGGTGTGAATGCTTCCATTGAAATAATAACCAATTTAAACTAAAGACAGTTTGACTAACTGACTGATTGACTAACTGTCGATTAGACTTAGCGATTAGCTGGTTAGTTAGTTGGTTAGTTAGCTGGTGTTTAGTTTGTTGGCTGTTGTTAGTCAACTGATTTTACTGACGACTGGTTGATAAGTTCACTTACTGTGAAATGATTGTATAAACACCGACTGACTGATTCGAATTAACTTATCAGCTGTTTATTTACTTATATCTAATGTCATTTGGCAATATTGCTAAACTTAACACTAATGGATAATAGTAATAATATTAATAACCATACTTATAATAATGCTGCTGATAATAAAATTACAGATGCAAATCTAGTGATTGATATGCGCATATACGGAAGTATAAACACACAATTTAGACAAGTATCAAAGGAATTATTTCACATAACATATTGACATTTTCTATCATCCTGAAGTGTACATCACTATATCTCCTATACTTTTATTATTTTTCATCCACACTACTTATTTGGGTGAGTTTTAAGTAGTAAAGATGATGGATATAAAAGGGAATATGCTGAAAATGTTGTCTAATGAGATAAAATTACATTTCTACGACTACATCAAACCATAATATTGACTAATATTCAATCAAAGAGTGTATGTATATTTAACGAATGAAAATTAGTATTATAATTTACATAAATAGTATTGATAATAATATTACTCCATTCCATGCTGATTGGTTGTCTTTTATCTCATGCCAAAACTACTCATATCAGAGCTATCGTTACCGTCGTTTTTACCATTGTCGTCAACATCATTGAAATCATCTTCATTAACAATTTTATTAATCTATATTCTACACATAGTATTTCATTTATTAGAATATATCCCGAAAGTAGACTGTGTTAAAGGTTGTGTAACATTTGTTGCTGGTGATGATTATTCAATGCGTCAATCAATATGTGATAAATTGAATACACACTTTCAAACTATTCCATTAAGTCTACCAAGTGAAGTAATCAAATTGACAGTGAATCATCAAGATATTGTCCAGTTGAATGCTAGTCAATTTAATCATTTGCCAAATTTAACCTTTTTAAATTTAGATTCAAATAAAATTAAAATAATTCATCCAAATACATTTAGTAATTTAAATAAATTACAAACATTAAGTTTACGATATAATTTTTTAACTATATCTCATGAATCATTCCATCCAAATGTGATAAATGGTTTAATTGGCTTACAGCATATCAATTTATTACATAATCCTATCGGGAATGTACCAAATCACTTTTTTCTACCTATTAGTAAAACCCTACGTTCAATTGTTCTGTCAGGTGGATCTACAGACTTTCAGTTGAATAAAGAAACGTTTTATGGTCTATGGAAATTACAACTATTAGATTTAAGTAATAATCATTTAGAAAGTTTACCTGAATTCTATGAAGGAATATTTAGTCAAATGCAATTACAAGAATTATATCTTTATGGTAATCCCTGGAAATGTGATTGTCATTTAAGATGGTTAAAAGTATGGTTTTTAAAATATGGTAAAAAGTTGATTTATTCAAAACCAATCAATGATGCTGTCTTATTACGTAATAATATTGATATTGAGACAAATAACTGGTTACTAAATGGTAATACTAATAGTAATAATAATAATGGTAAACTGGATTATCAGTTAAATGATGTAAATACCTTATTACAACCAAAATGTGCATCACCAATTGAATTACACGGACGTCCATTATTTAGTCAAATTAACAATGCTGGAGTACAAGCTGTGCATAGTACTGACTTTTATTGTCCACCTGAAGTGTATACACCTAATCAACAAATTCAATTAATTTTAGGAAATAATTCAACACTGTTATGTAACTTTTTTGCCGATCCGTCAGGTATTGTTGTCTGGTATAAAGATGGAATAAGAATACAAAATCACTGGCCAAGAACTATTATCAAACAAAGTCAAGGTAAAAAATTTCAAGCTGAATTAACTATTGAAAATATACAACCTTCTGATGCTGGTATTTATGTTTGTTATTTGGATACTGGTTATGGTTATGTGAATACAACATTCAATGTTCAAGTTGACAGTAGTCTTGGTGGTGCTGGTAGTACAAGCCTACAGGACACTTATCAACAACATCATGATGGTGTATTCTATTGGATAAGTAAATTGGATACAACGCTTATATTAAAGTATACAGGAATGATTGCAACATGTTTAATTGTCTTATTACTATTAATGGGTTTATCAATTTACTTTTTCAATGGAAAACATCTTTGTCGACCAAAATTAGATATAAATAAGCAAAGTCTTTCAATTTATGACGACAAATCGGATCATCATCAGTTTCAAATGAAACATGATGGTTTAGATGAAACAGATACATTTAATAGTAGTATTACTGAAAAGAATACAATAAGTAATTCAAGAAGTTCATATACTCTACATGGACAAAATCTTAAACTATGCACATCATTAGCATCTTTAAGTGGTGGTAATAAAATCTTCTGGATAAATTATCACCAACATCATTATCCCCGTTAGACAGAGATCATATTTATCTACATACCGATGGTATTGGAAGTCAACTTATCGATGAGCACAATTTACTATCATCATCGTCACAAAAATCACATCATACTGAATTTGATAATTATGTAACAGTCCGCTTGTTGCCAACAGTGACACGCGGTGATTTATCAATGCCTTGTCCTATACATAATTATGCATTTCTTCATCCGGTATCAAGTAATCCTGTAACAGTGAGTGATGCTCCCAATGCCTCTGCTAACACCAATTTGGATGTAACTGTTGATGGAGTTAGCAGTGGTAATAGTAGAACTGTGCAACTTACTCCAAATACTAATCTCATCTCTTTATCCAGTAATACAGAATTAAATTCAGATTTAAAAATGCTCAATACTACTGATGAACAACAGTATCTACAACAGTTACCCACGAATAATTTAAACACTAGTAAGCCCTGTTATGATGAAACAAATACTGCAAATACGCATGAGATGAATTCATCCCTTTACCACACACCATGTCCATTACACGGGAATTTATATGCAACATTACAAACAAAAGACAAAAAGCTAACCACTTCAGAGATACGTAAACATATTGCCAGTGTACCGCCTGGTTTAACAGGTTTGAACTATGAAAAACATTATACATTACCAAATAGAAAGTTGAAAACATTTTCATCCAGTAATACAACTTCCTATTCAATTTTCACTACTACTACTACTACTACTACTACTAATACAACCAGTACTACTCCTCCAATTACAAGTGATAATAACAATTGTGATAAATCAAGGACCAATACTGCTGATATTATGAATAACAGTAGTAATACACGTAATTCTACTAATATTTCAGTTATACATAAGTGATATGTTTTTATTTTATCCTTCATTTTCTCTTTCTGCTATTTTTGTTTTTGTTTTGTATATCTAATTCCTCTTAATCAGCTGAATGAATACTCTAAACAGCTGTTAGTTCCACGGAGAAACAAGGCTAACTGTTACTCAATGACAATTCAGATATGATAATGAGTGGAGCACACAAACAGGCACACACACATATATATACACACACCTTATCTGAATCTATATCACTAACACGACGAAAAGTAAATCAAACTCGCCTGAATGTGTAAATGAATTTGAAATGCGCGTAAAAACAACTAGTCATAATTTAGTGTTCATTATAACATCATTCTAATATGGAATTCAAAAAGAAAGGCTTCTGAAAATAAATATTAAATGAAATTGTAAGCTTTCAAAAAAATTTTCATTTTATTTATCTTTTTTTTCTAATGGTTGTTTTTCATTTTCTTAATATTTACTGAAATGTATATTATTTAAATATAAATTGTATATTTAGGAATTTATTCAGACTTATAGTGAACAAATAAATACGGTATGAATAAGTGATTTGATTTAAGTAACTTTAGTAAAAGTGTTTTTTATATGCGTCGTTGGCACAGAGGTTAAGACGCACGCCAACCATGCACATAGTCAAGGGGTTCAATGTCTAGCCGACGCATACGTGATATCAGTAGTTGGTCTGCTAAATTTAAGCTGCCTACATCACATGCTGAAAATCCAGGACCTTTGGATCATGAGGTGGGCCAGCTGACCAGTGCATCGGTGGTTCAATGGTTGAATGCTAGCTGAACCTCATGGAAGGTATCAGTTCACTTCTAAGTCACTGAATCCCTCAACCTCATCAAAATTACTAGCTTGTAGTAAGTGTGGTGATGAAAGAATGTTGTGAGTCAGGTTAGTGACCCCACTTCGTATAAATAAAACAACACCGCCACTACTGACACTTCTAAGTTTGAAGTCTTACTCCCCCTGCCCCCAAATCGAAGAGTAAAGGGATAAATAGAACGAAACCCAAGTGTTTATTATCTTTCTGTTGTGTATCATAGGTATTATTATTTCTCAAGTGTTGAATTTCAGGGAACAGATTGCTTTCAAGTATGACCGTGAACCGACGTCGGAATAAAGGCGTGGTGTATAGGTGTTTCATTCTTGTTTGTGATTGTTCACCAAAAGGCATTAGGGATAAAACTCAAGTCCTTGAAGACGCGAGGGAGGCTGTCTGGGCATTCAGTCGCTGTGGCGCAGTCCACTAGCTGGTAAATTCTAACTACTGCCTGTTCATATTACATGTAATGTTAGACCTAACCAGTGTCATGGGAGATTATGTGTCCTACAGCTGAGTACTTAATGGACTCACCTCATAATCTAATTGTATTAAGTTCCATCCATAGAGGAATCATTGGAGTACATCACTGCAGATTCTCAAATCAGGACTAAACGGATGCCCAGCGCTTCATGGTTTTCACTGTTTCTTTAAATTACTTCACTTTTTGACGAAACATACACTGAAATAAAATAAAGTCAACCGGAGGAAGTAATACTAATCTAAGACAAAAATAACAATAATTAACGATGCGATGACATAGTAGCCATGATATCAAAACTTCAATATCTCAAACGTCAATATGACAGTTCAATCTTTGTAATCTAATCCTAAAGGTGTGTAACTGGTTGATACAGGTAGGATGCAAAAGAGCTACGGGAGATCTCAGGATTCGTTACCCAGTCGATGCATTCTTAAACCACACCTAGCCGGTAATTAGGCCAGAAAAAGACGAACGTCTGGATATGAGGCAACTCCACCATGTAAAATCCACCAATACCGAAAATTTACTGCTTGAGGCTTGAAGCTCTATGTACCAATTGAAATGCCTGGAATAAAAACAATCCCAGCAAATTACGACAAATCAGATATATAATTTAAAGCAATATTATTGCATTTTACAGGCCACTATTATTTTCAGTCGGTATAAAAGGATCAAATGAATGCAAAATATAGTCCGAAACGTCTTCTGTAAGAGTAAAATCACGATATCCAGTAAAAAGATTATTTCCAACAGATTTACTGTTAACCTGTACAGTCATACATATACATATATATATGATCTTTTGAAAACCATATCCGGTGGCAAAATTAATTTTTAAAATTTTAATCCCTTGCGTTCAGAGTGGAATATAGGGCTTCCAGCTTGAACTTCGAAGTTCCAGTAGCAGTGATATTATTTTGTCTAACGGAGTGGCGTTTTGTTAGCGTCGTTTCCAACCTCTCCTCTCTACCGGGTTTACTACAGCCTAAGCAAGAATGAGGAGTGTGGCAGCCGGGGATCGAATCCCTCACCACATCAAGTGTGGTTGGCAAGTATTCTACTATTGAACTTCTGACACATGCTAACACTCATAGAAATGTTAAGTACGGGAAAATATTCAATTTCTATAATCATGATTAAACGAGAAAGCTCACTACCATTACTGCTGCTGTTGTCTTTATCATATTCAGTGTGAACCCTTTTGCACTATCATCTGACTTGTTCCTTCCCTTTATCATTTCAGCTGATTATATTTTTTGAAATGTTAGACAGTGTCTTAACAAACATGTCATTATTATTTCGCAGTGTTTTTATTCACCTAGTAATCTTATTAATTTTGCATTTTTTTCTGGGATTTATGGGTCTTACGAAATGTTTTATGGATTATGCAACTTGCTTTATTATCGCTTGATGTTTAACTCTGCATATAATCACATATATTTTGTCTTAGTTTACATTATTACTATTTGCACTATTAGTAGGAGTATTAATAATGAAACCTGTTGTTTAAATTTCCTCACAGAAATCATTATAAGCAATGAAATTTTTAACTTTAGTTTAATTTAAAGTTAAAGAAATCGTCTGTGTTTGGAAATTATCTCAGACAGTCTGTTGTGAGTGAGAATCTGGTGATATGTTTTAATTAGTTCAAGTTTATTTTCTCAGGGAATTCAGTGAGTAGTGTACATTAGGATAGTCAAACAAAATAAAATAAAAGTCACTTAGGGTTACTGTTTATGTCATCAAAATGACTACAGTATGTGATGAATAATCAAAATTGTAACTGTGGCGGAAGGGGTAAAGATTGGTAAGTATCGACAAGGGTTGCGTAATATGAAATAGGATGTTAATGGATACACGTGTCCACAAAACAAATTATGTAATACGTAGAAAGAGTAGATAAAGGGTTGGTTAAAAAGAAGATATTAATAAGATGCCGTACAAAAATTCAAAAAACAACAAAAACATTGTTAACAAAGTCGTAAGATTTGGAATTATACCCAAGGTAGGAGGAGGGGGGTTGAGAAGTTCCTTCTGTGTACATAAACCAGGGTTTTCCATCCGAATCGCTAAGGCCAACTCAGCAATGCAAAATATGCAGAAGGTTAACCACCGTTTTTGGGAGGCTTCAATTGACTTCTTAGATGACTGAATGAATTCCGTGTGCATATTGAGTGACCAGTGTTGACTATATATTCAATTATAGCACTCTTTATTGATCTACTGTCATCCTTGCTCAGCCAAGTGGGATAATGTTGTTTGACTCCTTTGGATAAAAAACGCATCGAACAACCTATATATCTCGTCGACTCCACATGAGCAAGTAAATTAGTAGATACACATAGAAGCGGTCAAATGCGAAAGTTTATCTCTGGAAATGTTGAAGAACAATGGGCGGCTTGAGAATACCAATCGTAATGTAGCAGCAGGGCGTTAGATATTCTTCTCTTTAAGATGTTGTCCAAAAGGTCGCCTTTGAATGCCACATTCTTGTATAGCATCTTCTTCAGCTTGGTTGTTGTTTGTTGTTTTTCAGCTTTACGTGTTTATCTACAAAGCGTGGTGGATAGCCATTCTCAAATAGTGTCTTGCTCAACAGAGTGATCTCTTCTTCTACTGATTCGGGGATGCATATTTTACGGATCCTAGTCGCAAGGGTGTTTATATTAAAATTCAAAATAATCTGGAATTTACTAAAATTTTTAAACATTTCTTTTAGAGATTTTTATGGGTAACTAATTTATGACTATTGAATTGAATTTTTGATTTTCCCGTCGATTAATTGGACCGAAGTGCTCGGTCTCAGGTTGACATGTCGGCTTCTTGTGCAGATGCTTCGACGATGTCTGGGCATTTAGTTAGTATACAATTGGTGGATGGTGGCTAGCAGTGGAATCCACCAATTGTATACTAATTTATGACTAGATAAAAATAACTTTCTTAATAAAAATTTCTAAATCTTACTAGGTGAAATATTATTTCCTATGAATAATTGATAGTGGAGAACATATATTAACATTTTTTCCCTGGGTAACCTATCAAATTCATCATAGCTAAATGTAGGCATTTTTAAAATTAGAAGCGTAGTGTTAATTAAATTTTTTGAAGGAAAAATTAAGAAGAATTTGGAACAGGTTAACTGTTAATTTTTGTTTTGGGTGTTATTATCAATAAAGTGCGTCTGTAGCACAGTGTTAGAATGCTCGCCACCCACGCAGGCTGTTCGGAGTTCAATCCCTGGCCTCATTTACCTCGCTCAACCAGTAATAAGACTGGTAAAGAGGGAAGGAGGACATGAGGCTAACGACCCCACTCCGTAAAAATAAATACTACCGAGTTCGAACTCCGGTGGGTGCTTACCGATGAATAGCCTCAAACTAGGACGAAACAGCTGTCCAGTACTCTCAGGTGGTTTTCCAATGCTTCTTTAACCGACGTCAGCTCATGATGAAATCCTGTAACCAATAAATACCGTTGTTACTGAAACTTCAAAGCTCTATCTTGAAGCTCTATGTTCCACTGGGAACGTAAAGGAATAAGATGATAACAATAAGTAATAGCAGTCGATAATGTGAACTTAAAATTATATTTAACTTGGAAGAATTCAAATCTCTTAGACTGTGAGAGATACAGAAGGTTTCAGCAGCATATACCCATTTTTTTCTTTACTGTACCGTTTTCAAGCTGGCTTTATGA